TAGAATTTTATGGAATTTTACATGTAAATGTATTATAGCATATTGTAATACCTTACATAGAATAAAATACTAATATTTAATATTTAATATAACAATTTAAAATGGTATGCAATAAAATGAGAAATGATTACGAAATAAATAATATTAGACATTGTGATGAACCACAACGACATGGGAGGGTTGACCGGGTCTTGGAACTGGACCCCAACGGTTAACAATACCAAAGACTATAATCCAGGGAACGATACATAACAGGAATAGTGGCGATAATGTGATGAGAATTGCGTACAGGATCTGAAGACACAATAACTCTTGTGCGGCACTAATCAATCCAATGATGTTTACGATAATCAGATAAATAGGAAGCACACAATTCACGGCACCCATAGACTAACAGTTGCCATCGTAACAGTAAAAATAATAATTCCTGTCAAGTATTAGGACATCGAATAAGACTAGGAGACAAAGTATTATAAAGATGACACAGACAGCGATTTGGATAATTTTTAAAATCTGAAAAACCAGTCCTTTATTTTAATCCCACCACGACTCTTGCTCTATAACTACTGGTGTGACCACGACATGTTGAGTCCCAGACATTTTATGCTAGTGTCTTACAAGTAACTCTTATTATTTATAAGTTATTTACAAGAACCGATAGTTTGATTTGTTGCACAATTTGTTTATATTATAATTTATAATATTCATATTTTTATTCTTAAATTCACGTGTAATTACTAAACATTTAAATATTTCTAAAATTCAATTCAATTCAATTCAATAGTTAATTTAAGAAATATAAAATCTACGGTAATTACTAATTAGTTAACTATATTCAATGTCTAGGCAATCTTATTTAATAAATAAATTTATTTCAATAATTCATAACTATGTATCATAATCATTATGACATAATGCAATTGAACTTTAAATAAACAAATATTTTTTAAATGAACTCTTTTAGTGCAAAATATACAATGAGTACAAAGAACACTGTCATAATACAATACAGAATTTGCTAAGCTGGCACTCGGGATTTTTTGATTAGATATGAACGTCCATTCAATCCTGAGTCAGAATATGTAATTTATATTGTCCTGTGACCTCTGGTTCGGCCGCAGTGACCACTTTAATCGGGAAATTTTTTATATAAAATGTCAACATGTGATATATCAATTTTATAGAGAATTTTACGTAGAATACGATGATATTAATTAAATTAATAAATAACGTCATTTTCACCAGAAAATTGTTAGATAATCGCTTTAAAATCTTTAAAATTGCGTTATATTTGTTAAATATTAATGTTTCACAATTGTTACTTAAATAAATAAGTTCCTTATAAAGTTCTCCACAAAATTAATATATAACATATTTATATTTATTATGATAAAATATACCGATAAAAGTGGTCAGTCAGGCCGAACCGGAAGTCCCAGAACAAACTAAATGATATTTTATGACTTCTTATAAAGAGTACTTTTATATTAAATTGTAGAACCCAAATT